AACGTTTTCATCACGAACATTAATTGGCATTAATGTGTGCTAATTGTGGGCTGATATTCTAGCACTATTCCCAAGTAGCATTTCTTGTTTTATTGCACTCTATTAGTGGTTATTGAGATCAATTTCATAAAACCGCCAATAAAATTAATAGCTCCAGCACAACCTTTTGATAACCGCTATAAGACCGTCATACAGCTTAGTGGACCACTCTTGATAAGGTTTATAAAGCATGTTTGAGAATCACAATAAAGCTGTCTTAAAACCTTTTGTCAGGAAGCCTCATACTCTACAAAAGGTTCTCATAGCCTCTATAAGAGTAATATTGTATCCAAGCAGTTTTATGACGCTTTGGTGAAAATCAGTTATAAAGCCAATTTAATTTGTATTGGCTTCAAAGCAACCGCCATAAATTAGCTTGTTGTTGTTCTGTTCTGCTGAAACCAAATGGAAATCTTTAGCGGTTAAAATAGGTTTGAGTGTTGGTGTCAAGATCACCATGCAATCAATTTTGTTTCATGGCGACATTAGTGAAAATCTTAAAGAAAATATATTACTTTTTAGAAGTTCCAAAACATATGCGCTTGAAATGTTATCGTGTATATTGAGATAATATGAGCGTTAAATAAATGCGCCTCCAAAATAATTCAAGTTAACAAAATAGATTGTTTCAGAAATTAAATGAATTTGATGGAATCACCTTAATTTTACAGAAAATAGATCTCAATACATAAATTCATACCAATGCACACTGGAAATCATTTCGGATCTCTTATTTAGCCATTATTTTATTGAAATTTCTTGGATTTTATTCCAAGGCTAATGGCATTTTCATAATGACAATATGGTGACAGAAGACAGCAGGCAAGAAAAACACCAAGCGCAATTTCTTAAAATGTCTAATGCTTACATTGCACACTGGGTCAGGAATGCAACCTAGCAGAGCAAAATTAATAACTCCGAAACGAAGCATTTCCGCGACTTGGTGTCTTCGGCAAAATTTCTCATCATAATAAGGACCATCTATTGACATAAACAAATAGTTCAAAACTCTTCCGCAAAGATGGTGTCACAATCTAACTTCTTTCTCTGACGTTTTGGAAACTTGATGTCTTGGGCAAAGTTGTTTATCTTGACAAAATGAACAGGTCTTTCAAAGACGTAAAATTTCCACAGTCTACTGGTTCCAAGTTATATGGAGTTAAAGATAAAAATCTTGAAAATATGGTTTTTTTCTGTTTCGGTTTTTTTGCTTACAGCTTTATAATGTTATATTTTTCTCTTATGAAAATACATTAAATAAATAGCTTTTGTGAAGAAACATACTGGATTAAGCTTCAAATTTCAAAGACATTGTTGAAAAAACGAGAAAAAAAAACACAATTTTGACATTTTCAGCAAAAAATAAGCAATACTCGATAAACAAAATATCAAAATTTGAGAGAGGCATATTTTGGTGTTTTGTAGATTTCTTCATTTTAGTGGAACATGTTTTTTTTTTCTATAACTTTTTTTAATGCATTGAATTTGTGTTTCGAAGACTTCACGACTTTGTCAAAGTTGGTTATCTTGATAAAATAAACAACTTTTCTTAATACGTTAAAACTTCACAGCCTACTGTTTTCGAGTTATGTGAAATAACAGAAAAAAAATTGCTTCGTTTCGGAGTTATTAATTTTGCTCCGCTAGGTTGCATTCTTGGCCCAGTGTGCATGGGATGAAAGCAGAACAGAAAAGGATAATGCATGATTTTATTACGAGAACTATTTTTTTTACAAGAGCAATTCAAGCTGAACTTTGCATTAGGTCCTAAGTAACATTGATCGATTCTCTTCGTCGACTTTCTCTTTCGTTAATAACTTATTCACAGAACCGTTTCTTGATGTGTTTGTCGTATTGGATGCTAGATAAAAGCTTCTTTTATCGATTTATGTGCTGAAAATACCTGGGAATGTCTTTACATGACCGTGGGGATGCAAAGAGAAAGTTGACGAAGCGAATATGTCAATATTACTTAGGACCTTATGCAATTTTCAGCTTGAATTAATTTTTTTATTTGAGGGCAAATGTATATTCCTATTCTACGGGTGCAACCGATGAATTTTAAAAACATTTAGAAAAGTTTTGAATGGTACATTAACCTTTATGAAAAGTTATGCGTGATTTCAACCTAGGACTGTCACCATTCCATGTATTTCGACCAAGATTCGACCGTGTCACCCCATGTATATGCGAGCGAGAACGGAAGAATCATGGAGATTGCTGACGTTTTTCTTACGCACACTACGTCGCGTATACGTATACACGAAATGTTTTCATGCTCATGCTAACAATTTTGTTGATTTTCTTTGCGCTCCGCTTGGAAGTACCGGAAAGTTTTTATTCTTTTCTATGTTGTAAAAATAAACCACCTATTTACATTTCTGACAAGTTGCAACTGAATGCTTATAATTGTTTTAAAATAACTGTTTCATGGCCAACTAGTTTTATTGCGCTTACTTATAAAGCAACGATAGGATTTATTTTTTGGTTTTATAAGGGCAATTTATATTACTTTTTTGTATACTTCAAAGCAATCATAAAACCTTTCATAAGTGAAAATAGCATAAGCATCAGTTGGTTTTTTAATTAGCTTTATAGGGGTTTTGTAGATAGCTATAAGAATGTTTCATGACTTGCATTGTATATGACCGTCATAAAGCTGTAGGTAATGGTTGCAGCTGCAATAAAACCTTTATAAATTTTGAATATAGCCAAGCAGCTCTAGATTTGTTACTTGGGTTATGGTCAACTATTTCGCCTTTTTAGCATATAATAAATCTATACTAGCATATCGAGCAATTCCACGCCAAATTACGAATAGGATAAACTCCTTCTCCTCCGATTTCCATGGAACTTTGCATAATTGTTTTTTGTTATGGGCAATGGTTCACATTTTTGGTAAAATTCGGCTTATTTGGAACTGGTAAAATTTTCAAAATAGGGTCTTTGAAATTAACAAAACATGTAACGCGGGAACAGCCTGAGATAAAGCTAAAAATATTGTTTTTTTTCTGGGGAAATATACACAGCAAAAAATTAATTTTGATATCACATCAAAGTAGATGCACTTCACTCGAGTCGAAAATATGGTCTAATATTACTTGCCAAAAAGGACAACATTAGCATTGATACAGTGCATGAACTGACATTACGTTGATTTTTCTGCATTTGTTCCTTTTTGAGGTCATAAAAATTACATGAGATTTTCGACATGATTGAAGTGCATTTTCTTGGATGTAATATTAAAATTTTTTTTTGGTGTGTACAAAACAATGTTTTTCGTAGTTAATTTTTTTTATCATTCTAAATATCTTAAAATGTTCTTGAAGATTTTTTATTTTTATAAAATAGAAAATAAAACTCATTAAAAATTCAAATCTATAATTCTTTTTTAAAATTATGGACGCTTTAAAATTGACAAAAATCGTAGAACAAGAACTTGGTAAAAATTTAGAACAATTTGTTAAATCGTTTTTTTTTATCATGTAATTTATACTCAAAAAACAATGTTTGAGACATTTCAAATTATTTTCTGTGAAACAATGCCCCAAAAAACGTACTAAACAAAAAGTTAAAAAAATTGACCAAAAGTTCTTGATCTACAATTTTTGTCATGTTTCAATATTCCAAAAGTTTGCGTATTTCAAAAGCTATTTTTAAATTGTTTGTTTGAAAAATCTGGCATGGACATTTTGAAATATTTGCCAAAACCATTTTTTTTTATTCTTACTTAAAATAAATAAATAAATGAAAACATGTTTGGTAAATTTTTTCCCTGAAGGACATTATTTTTCTTTGAAACTTTGTCTCAGACGTCATTTCTATCTGAAATGCCGTTGCCGAGCTACAATTTTTTGAAAAATCAAGGGCGTTATTTTGAAAATTTTACAATATCCAAAATAGCTAATGTCACACAATTACACAAAGTTCCATACAAATGGAGAAGGTCCATCCAAACATTTTTTTTTTCGCTATTTTGCCTACAACTGTTCCATAGTTCCTTAAACGTATTAAATTACTGTTTTATTTGATTTGGCAACTCAAGTGTTTTAGGAAAATTCTCTGCTCCGAAAAAATAATTACGTTTTGATTTTTCAAAAAGTATTGGAAAAAAATATCAAAAATCTAAAAAAAAAACACATTTTTTCTAATTTCCGAAAGTAAATTTACGTGCAAGAAATTCCTGTGGGTTCAATTTTTTTTTCATGGTGAGATAAAAAAAATATTCACATGTAATTTTTCTCTGGAATCTAAGAAAAAACTGATTTCCTTGGATTTTTGATAATTTTTCCTAATATTTTTAGAAAAATATAAATGTGCCGGAAAAAAATATTTTCGTTGCGGTAAACTTCCGCTTAAAGTGGCAATTCAGGAACCACTGCTCAATGCTGTGGGAACTTTAATCATTCCCATGAGGTGTGCTAGATAATTAGGGTTAAATACCCCATTTCCGGCCTATTAAGCATAACACGCACTTAGTCTTTCTTAATCTAGATCAGTTTAGCACCAAACGGAATGTTATTATTACTGATGGCTTTCAAATTTATTTGCCTTTCCGTAGGTACCGTATGATTTGATAAAGAGAAACCAATCGTTGAGATATTGTCAAAAGTCCAACACTGCTTCTTGACGCCAAACTCGGCCTACGGATTTTAAACTCGGCCTAACGCATTGAAACGCCGATGAATTCACTTCGGCCTATCGTATGAAGATAAAAATTGATTCGGTGGGAGCGCTTCTTTTGTTTTTGGTTGCAAACTTTCATACCACGCGTTCTCATTGACTACGTTCGGTAGTTTATTAACTAAAGTATCGTACCAAACGCATAATTGACTTGTTAACTCTGAAATCATGGATTTATTTGAAGTTTTCTGCTCGATAGGCCCAAAATGGGCGATTAGGCCGAAGTAGTGCTCTACCCTACCATCATTTATGTGCATGAATCAACTTACAAAACCTACCCTGGTAATTTTCCGGGATAACGGTCAGTCATACTCGGCGTGGTGTTCTTGTGTTCCTGAAACCATATATCCACGCTGAGAACAATCATCTCTTCTGGTTTCAATATTGTCCTTCCACAAAGCAACTTGGAAGCGATGTTTTGCCCGGCAAACGGAAATTCACTTGTGCTGCGACACTGATCATGGCCGTAGACGCATCTTTTTGTATTGCATTCGGCTAAGTACTCCAGTTCATCGTCCCACGTCTGTGATGCGTTGCGATGGCATTTATTTATAAATGACGATGAAATTGAAGAGTATAAAAATAACGAAGCCAGCATAATATTGATATCGATACATTAAAAAGCACTTTCTGGAAACGTATCTAGATAGATAAGTTGGTTGTTTTGATTTTCTCTTAGAGCGCAATGTTTTGTTAGACTATTTCCAATAAGAACTTCCTGCTTCTACCGAGAATCACTCATTGCATTGTGGTTCAAAACGGCAGTTTATCAAGTAAAATATTTACCTTTTTGGTAATTGGTGTCTTCCTAGAAGTTGTTTGAAATTAAATGGTCCTTATTTTTAGGAAAATGTATATTATGGAATTTTAAATTTAGAATCTATCTTTTTCAAGAGACGGTAATAATAAAGTTGAAATAGGTGGTTGAATTCTTGAGCAAAGTTGTAGCAAATGTTATTTTATGACACTATGCTGAAGGCACCATTTATATAGCACTTTATTTGACCATGCTTGAGTAATTTATCAGCTTTCAATTAGGGTGCTCCTAAAAAATCAGGTTTTTAGTCTTCTGAATATCGACCTCTCGAAAAAAAATAATATAGTTAGAATACAAAACTGATTTGTAGAGAAATTGCTCTAGCATAATCAAATATAGAGTTAGATATTGATGTCTTCAGCAAAGTTGTAGATAATTTAATTTTATGTAACTCAACCACATGTATTCTGTAATAAAAAGTAAGATTCCGGATTAGAATTCAATATGAACCGCTCTTATTCATTTTTTTTTTCATAAAAAAGAATCATTTAATTTCAAACAACACATCTAGGAAGACCACCAAAAACGAACATAAATGACGTAAATATTTTTTCTGCTAAATTGCCGTTCCGGACCACAGTGCATTGTTAGCCTTGCAATTCTATTCAACCGCACAAACATAAAAAAGACAATCTGTACACAAGTTACCACTTCAGTCATTCTGGCAGCGGGTGGATGTGGTTTCACCGAACCACAAGCTAACATGTCTCTCCACATATTGTGCTTCTCTATGACTAGCGCTTTCAGTTTGCCGTCGATTTTGATTTTACGGGCGTTTCTGCCAGCACATCGGACCCCATAGGATGAACTATCACAACCGCATCCAATGTTTCGTAGTCCCTCTGGGCAGACATCTTTCCCACAGTATTTGTCTCCATTACTAGCACCTCCTTTGTGCAGTGTCACGGCCAGTAAAGCAAAAATAATATACGTTTTGAAGACCATTGATGTCACGCTGATGTGATTGGTGCTGACTTTGTTTGTGTTAATCATTTTATGTTTAAAATAGCAGTTTTATTTTCTTTTTACTATGAAAGATTGCAAATTTGTCCACTGCTTAGAATCAATCTAGCAACAACACTAGAAGTACTTGCATACACACTGATAGTTTTTATAGATACTTGGAAGTTGCAAATTTCTGTTATTTGAAATGAAGTGAACGTTTTTATGGATTTGTCGTGAGACAATAAAATGCTAGCTAAACGTGAGGCACAAAAAAGCCACCTACACTTTTTAGGGCACCTGCGCTTAAGCCTTAAATCAGGTTCTATCCCAATAATGACAGTGTGATTTGATGAAGAGCCGAATGTCGGTAAAATTGCAAACATTTTGTGAAAGGAATTTGTTTTACATCTTTAAATATCACTAAATTAATTTTTAATTTTGTTCCATTTAAAGTACCGTAAAACGGGGTATCTTTGATAATGCGAGTAACTTTGGTAAGAGAATGCAATGATTAAATTTACTCTCTGCGCTTTTTACGAATTCGAAACATTGGTACCACATTGTACCTTAGGGTGTTTACATTGATATTGTATATAGTTTTTAAAGAGTATGTGTAACATATTGTTCAAAAATATATAAAAAAACAATTTTCTTGTTTTTTGCCTGTTTGAAAAAGCACTCAAACCATCATTTATGAAATGTATCTCCGATATAGCCATCACACATTCAGTATTGTATCCTTATTCCTTATGATGTTTTCTGATTATATACTCATTCAAAGTTTCATATTTCAAGAACTAAATTGTTTGAGTTTCTCGCATTATTTTCTACATTCATCAAGCGTTATCAAAGTAACCCCAATTCAAAATACTGACGTTCGGTCATAAAACTAAAAAAATAGTACAAATGCAATAATTTCCGTTAAACATATTACTATAGAATTGACTCTAGAATCCTCAGTACTTGTTTTAAAATAATAAAATTTGAGAAAAATTCATCGCTTTAAACAATATAAAAAAATACTATCAATGTTACCCCGTTTTACGGTAATTATTTGTATTGTTTCATCACAACATATGCGCTTGAAAAGGTTCATCCATACATGCTACATAAGTGATATCGATGTTCGAACCCCGTCTTCCCTTATTATATTCAAAATAAAGCCGCTTCCATTCGAGCTCCCAGGACTTTCCCAAATAACGATAGACATAATGGTGGGTCAACTTAACAACTCCTTGCTCCCCACTGCTCTTTCGATCTGTATTGAGATCCCCAACATCCCAAGCAACACGGCTTGTCATAAAGAAGTTGAAAATACTTTTTAATGACTTACGTAAAGAATCAATAATACTTTAATATACGTCATTTAATACATCTATGTAACCTAAAAAGCACAAGACGCGGAGCTTATACAACTAAATACATGTTTTGGAAACATCATAAATAAAAGCGGCAAAAAAAAATTACAAAAAAAATATCTGGGCATGGGATTCAATCACTGGTCCTTGGCGTGGTAGACTTATTACTTCCTACTAGACCAACTCCGCTTGATGAGAGGTGTGTTATATGTATCTATCGTGTTCTTGCCAATGCACAGTGGTACAGAATGTAGATTTAGGTGGAATGATATGTTTTGAGCCTGAAATTGAAACTTTAGACTAAAAGTCTCTTCTACAAAGTTGTTCCTTATAGTTAGGCCCTCATTTTTATGACAATGAATTCTAGGGTGGTTCCTATTATCATTAAAATCAAAAATCTAACTTTTTTGTTTGAATAAATTAAGGTATACACTTTTCGGCAAAGTTATAGCCACCCTAACTCAATTCAAGAAAATAGCTCTAAATCGGCCAATTTAAGAGATACAAAAAGTAATTTTCAACAAAGTTGCTTGAAATTAGCTCAGCTATAACTTTGCCGAGGAGTGTATACCTTAATTTATTCAAACAAAAAAGTTAGATTTTTGATTTTAATGATAATAGGAACCACCCTAGAATTCATTGTCATAAAAATGAGGGCCTAACTGGAAGGAACAACTTTGTAGAAGAGACTTTTAGTCTAAAGTTCCAATTTCAGGCTCAAAACATATCATTCCACTTTGACTATATGTTGCAATTTCCAAACCTACGACTGGATGCCTTCCTTCAAATAACAATTGAAGTGCGGTAAAAATCGGTAGAACTGTTTCAAACACACAGTTGGTACTTGAACGGGTCGGTTTTCATCTCTTTTTGCCAGTGGTGGCGGGGGGGGGACACCCCTCACCATCCCTCTCCAAAGGGGGAGTTTGGTAAAGAGAGATGAAAAAACCGATTTGTACCTTCCTTAAAAGTTGTCCTAGTTCGCTATTCTAATATCTATATACAATCTTCACACTGCCGTACTCTAACGGAACTATCAACTCTATGCTTTCATCTACTCCATCTATCGTAAAAAAATTACCACTGCAGTCTGTTATTTGAAATTAGCATCTTCAACTATATCATTCCACCTAAATCTGCATTTTGGACCACTGTGCATGAAAATTATATCCGCGTTCAACACGCTTTCGATCCGTCATAAAGATGTTTTGTTAGCAGCAAAGCGTACATCTAATTGACAGAATGTTATTTTAAAGTATTTTCAACTCCTTATTAGACAACCTGCACATTTTCAGTTGTATTAATTTATGAGATGTCATAAACAAGTGTTTTCAACTTTCTTTATAACAAACGTCCGGATACCTCATAAGAAACTGTCAATCACTGCGTGAAGAGACAGTCCGGCTCAATGGCGCCGTCAATGTTTACGTGAATCTGGAAAGTTAAGAATCTCTTCAAGAACTTTTTAAATTCAACTAAGATTGATTTTGTATACGACAAGTTTTATAGTGGTATTAAAACAGTAAGATGCACTTTTAAATAACATTTAAAGATAAAAGCAAAATAAAACTATTTTGGAAAATGTTGAATCTAGGAAGTATGAAGAAAACATCTATAAACCTCATATATAACGTGGGATGTTTTCTGCATCACTTATAATACATTTATATAACAAGCCGTTCGTATTATTTTTCAAAAAGATGTTTTATGTGTTACTTTGGATGTATGCTAAATTTGAACGAATTAGTGTATGATCTGGATTTGCGGAGAACTGTTAAGTTTTATGGGAAAATGTATGATAAATGAATCGAAACTATTCAAAAATTGCAAATTTGTTTATCAAACCTTGGACTTAGATTGGGAAAACTACGCAAAACAACTATGTCCAAGATAGCAAATTGCTTCGACTTCTGTGTGTTCAATTTAACCCCCACTGGCCGGCAGTGTTATTATGGAAGAACTCTCTCTACAATGTCGCATATATGGTCATTGTAGACAGCTTTAGTCCGGGAGTTAGAAGGTGATAGCTCTATTGCAGATCCAGCAACCCATTTCAGAATGCCTGGAGAGTCACGCCCATTCCGAGGTTACTTTCACTTACAGTAAGCCCCGCATGTATGCATCACCGTTATCAAATGGATATTGGTATTACATACACACTTCCAGGCTCGAAAATATATTTTTTCAAACCTTGGATGCATTTAGTTAAATTTTGATTTTTTTTAATAATTGGAAAGCTCTCATCATATTCTGCTTTTCCGTCGTCGTTGATTACTTCTTTTGAAATCCCTTGGACTTTTTCTCTAACGCTTCGTATTTCATTCCGTGCTTCACCGGCAATTTCCTTCCGTAGATCGTCCTTGGTTGGTTTTGATATGATTCCGCCTTTTTTGGTCGGTTTCATTGAATTGAATTGAATTGCCATGGTGATCTGGGACGAGGCTCACGTCCAAAGTCGCTGTTCCACCGCGAAAAGAGAATGAAAGAAATACGAAAGGGATCAGTTTCAAGAAGTAACAGTTTCATCAGATTCCCCAAACTAACCATAGTCAACCAAAGTAAGAATATACAAGCTGTATTGCGACTATGGCCGTCATAATGGTTCATCGGTTGCGAAGTGAAATATTTCTGAAAGTGATGCGTTATATTGTTCAATGTTTTGATTTTATCTTAACGTTACTTCCATGTTATATCACAGACAAGCAGACACAACACATTGAACATTTATCATTGTAAACCCTACCGCCAACTGTCGTATATACTTTGATGGGCAATACACTCAACAGATGGTTGTAGTGTGTAAACGTCAAACGCTAGGGAATTGTTTATGTGCACCACAAGTGGCGGTACTACCAACTAAGAAACATTTAAATTGACCGTTAAAAACGATTTCGATGAAGGTTTTATGAGTGTTATGTCTGCTTGTCTGTGATCATACCTTCACTATCGCAACTTCGGGTAATCTGCGAAAGTATTTGCATTTTTCTCAGGCACTTTTGATCTAACTGCAATTACTCTCTCATACTCGAAATGTGCCACGACCAAATTGGCACAACGACGCCCTATACGCTCTCTGACCGAAGCGCAGGGGATCGCAAATTGCTTCGACTTCTGTGCCAAAAGTTACTAACCTTTTACCTTAGCCAAGTGCTCCGCGCATACCTACAAGAATCTAAGTAATCAGGTTTGGCCAAAATTGATTTTTTTTTAGTTCAAATTTAATAATCTCTAATCGACTCAATAAAGATCGAAAGTGCAGTGGGCATCAAAGGGTTGTGAACCGCCCTACAAACTTGACCCACCCTGATGGACGTCAATCAGTAGGTAATTTGGCGATATTTGCGAAGGTATAAGTTTCCATAAAACCAAATTTTCCGAATTTCGCAGACGAAGTATGTCTCATTAAGTTCTTTTTTTCCTTTGGTTTGTTTTCCGTCGATATTGTTTTCCGTGCTGATCACCAACGTTACCGATGCCAGGTAGGCAGCTCCCACACCTGGACCCTACCTATCGACCCATCAACCCAGCCGGGGACCAACGGCTTTACTTCCCTTCAGAAGGAAGGCGTTATCAGATATGTTATGCCTCAGAAAATCCCGACGGCGTCCACTAGGATTGAACCCAGGCCCTTTGGATTGTGAGGCAGTCACGCTTACCACTACACCATAAGCGCCACTTAGCCCCCCCCCCCCATGATCTTGAATAATTTTCTTTGACCAGAGTCTTAAAGTTTGATCTCTATCAAAGTCTCAGAATGTTTAAAAAAAATCTTAACTTCGTCTGCGAGCTACTTTCAGCATTCGCCTGTATAATCTTATGATTCTCTCCGGTATTCCCTTGAAGTTTTCTCCATAACTGTCTCGAAATACTTTAAGAATTCCATTCAGAAAAATCACTATATTTATCTACTCAGAATTCTCTTAAACTGTACATCAGAATTTTCTTTAAATTCTTATCAGATTAATCTAGGATTTTCCGGAGCTTGGAACCTATCCTAGCTTTCCAAAAATGTGATCCCTAAATTTCCTTGAAAATCGCATAAAAAATCCATAGGAATGTTCGCCAGAATTCTCTTGAAAATCTTATTAAAATGCCCTTGACAGAATCTTTTGGTATTGCCATGGAATTCTCTTCGAAATTCTATTGAAACTCTTCTTATGAATTTTCCTAGGAATTCTCTTGAAACAATATCTTCAAACGAGTCGTAAAGATTTGTTTAAGCTATCGCCAGTTTTAGATTCCGCTGAGCCTTTTCAGAATTATCTCATTTAAGAGAATTTCAGTCGTAGGATTGGTCGTAGTATAAAGTAGGTTCAGTGTTTATGTAGAGGATTATGATCGTCTATAACTTTATCATTTGAGGCCTTGTCTGAGCTGTAGACATACATGTCAACATATAGTTTTTCGTAGGTTTCATACTCTTTGTATTTTTTTCTGAATTTCATTTCCTTTTCTTCAAATTTGCTTTAGAGTTTTTTGAAATTCTCTTCACAAATTCTCCCAATTGACTCTTCAGAACTAACTTGAAATTCACCTTTAGTTCTTTTAAATACTGGAACCTTGAACATCTTGTACAATTACCTTCAGAATTCTCCTCAAAACTCATGTGGCATTCTCATAAAAATTCGCTAGACAGTTCATTCACAGACAGTTTGATCCGAATCCAATAATTTTGTTCAAGTCCAAGAGCATTGATTTTTTAATCTAAGATCTTAAAATACTTCATATTTGAATTTTCTTTTTTTTCCTTGATTTGTTTTCCGTCGATCTTGTTTTACGTACTGAGTACCAATGCTACCGACGCCAGGAAGGCAGCTCCCACACCTGGATTCTACCTATCGACCCATCAACTCATGAACCGGGGACCAAGAAGGAAGGCATGATCAGAAATTTTATGCCTCAGAATATCTCGGCTGCGCCGACTGGGATTAAACCCAGGCCTTTTGGTGTGAGAGGAAATCACGCTTATTACTACACCACTGGTGCCGCTATATATATTTGAAATACATTCTGATACTTTCAAAACCATTTAAATTTTTTGATCTAAAACATTATTTACTTCATGGAAAATAATTCCACAAAATGTAGCGATCCAATCCTAATAAGCTTTCAATATTGTGACAATTAGTTTTATTTCTCAATTGAGTAGCACCTTGGCCGACGTTTGCCAAATTGAGACTGTAGGGACTGTGCTCATGCACCTCTCTTTAGCACAGCTAGCCGACGTTGCACGTTCGAGACGAGGCTCGGTAGCTCAGCGGTTACCGTTTCTGCTTACTGAGCAGAAGGTCGGGAGTTCAATCCCAGGCCCGTCCCCTTCCTTGCAATTTTTCACTTTGCCTTATTCTATACCCACTAGATTTTAATGAAAACAAATTCTTCTTTAACACCGATCGCATCACTTACCACAGTGTGGGTCCTGATCTAAAAATAGAAATTGGATGAGTGCGCGCGCGCGTGTGTGTGTGTGTGTGTGTGTGTGTGTGTGTGTGTGTGTGTGTGTGTGTGTGTGTGTGTGTGTGTGTTTGTGTATTATAAACGCTCTACCAAAAAACGATCCCTGCGTGTGTGTGCAACCTTTCCCCACATCCAATATCCCAGTGATTTCTCGTGGAAGCGCAGAGGATTTCTCGGTTTCCTTCACAGCGAGTACCACGTCAACACATTCCTTCCCATTCCCTAGTTGACCTGCATTCGGACACGGCCGGCGCTGGTATTGCTAAATATTAGATCTCCAGTTCTTACACATTGAGGATGAATGTTAGTCCCAAACATCATCTGTTGGTTCTCTGTGTAATTGCAGCTGATCTGGTAATAACAGAGCAGCAACCGTGGGCGGTCAATCTGATTTGATTTGATTTGATTTGCTAGCCGACGTTGCACGTTCGCTGATCGTCTTTCCACTTTCGCAACTACGACTTTATTTGAGTGACTTCAAGATGCCCTCATCTCGACAAATTTTACGTTAAGGGCAGGTGTCTCCCTTCCCACTACTTCAAATTAAGGATAGTCAACGACCACTTGCTCCGGGTTTCCTACACATTTACACATTCCTTACAGAGGAGTGATGTTGCTAGTCCGAACCGATGTATAGGTAACGCCTGAAACAACCATGACCAGATAGGAATTACGTCTGTTCACCCATGCCGTGTTCCATTCCTGCTGCCACTTAGCCATCGACTCCGTTCTCACTATTTTTCGCTTTCCTCAGGTTTCCTTTCGCTTGTAGCATTTGCTGTGCTTCGCTTCCGACGAGATGGTTCTGAACGCGCTCACGACTCGGATGATGGCCATGAGCCTGAATGTTCTAGTCAACTTCGCTTGATTCCGCTTGGTTTCCAGCGCTGCAAACCAGGGTGGACCTCCGTCCAGAGTGGTTCGGCATGGTTCTAGCTACCGCCGTGATGGCCTTCGTGGCCTTGTCGCAGTTATAGTCGATGTGACTGTTGAGGTTTAGTCGGTCGTAGATCATCACTGCCAGGAATTTTAGCAAGCGCTTCGAGGTTATGGTACGCTTCCCGACCGACGGTCATAACACTACCGTTTTGTGGTCACATTGCAAGTTTATTTTCAAAATTATCATTCCGAAATAAGTGGAAAATGTGAAATCTTACAACATCAACATTCAACGTTTTCTCGTATCCTGTTTTTACAGATGGGACTGACTTGCGTTTATGGATAGGGCACATATTAGGTTGATTTTTCGTGAACCCTTGTCAATTTTTTGAAGTTTCAGAAATAGGGTTGATAATCAATAACCGTCGATAACGTCTGCGTTATCGTCTGAAATGGTGAATATGCATTGCAGAAGTTATCGACGGTTATCGATTAACTACCCTGGCCAGAATCCCCATTTTTTTTAAACTTCCTAACCTCGCAACTACAACATTCTGTATTTGTTCTTGACGTCATTTGAACCTTCAAGTCACATTCCAGCGCCAAATATGTACACTAAATATGTTTCCAGAGACTCTGACTACCTCTCTATACCCGTCAACAAAGTTCTCCGGACTGACTCCCTGAGGTTTTTCAACGTACCAACAACGGAAATCCTCCGTACCAGAGTTGAGTAGTAAACTCTCAAAATTTACAATATTTAAACATTGCAAAATGGATGTTGTCGATAATGTCTCGGGCAGGGTTGTTAAAAAACGGTTTTTGGAAGTAATCATCGTTCCCCTTCCCCAGAAGACCGTTCGAACGTGGCCATCACCGTTACTGCTGTATAACTACACAGAAAATAAATCTGAATTTTACTGGTGATGTAAACATCCATGAATGCAGACATTCATGCATGTAAACTTCCTTTTCACGTAAACTAGCAGCTTGCAAGACATGTTTCAAACAAAGGTGAACATACAATATATGTGATCTATAATATAAACTTGTATGATATATGCGCATTTAAATGCATCATAGTAACGCAAATTTATACTACTTTTTTTTAGGTGTGTAGGTTGAACGTGAAATACATTGAAGGTAAAAATCTGCTCCCAAGCTTCATACATGCGGTTTTCTGTGAAATTTCCAAGAGGGTGTCATTTGTAATTTTCAATCCTAAGATGCTCGAAAAATCGCAAGTGACTCAATCAACGAAAAATCTTCTTTTATTTTTGGCATCTAAATCAATTTACTAAACATGTCTTCAACAGTCTTCTTCTGCACGTAAAAAAATATATGAACATCAAACGTATACAAGATTTTCCGGAATACATATTTCCATATAAAACGTTCTCGGGAGTTTCTAGAGAGCATGGAAAAAAGCAGTCTTTGCTCGTAAATTTATCAAAATTAAACATTACATTATTATTTAAAAGTACCTTCTTACAACCTCATTATGGAATCTGTTTCATGCAGTGAAACATTACACGTTCTGAAGATATTTCGTACAAATCTGTAATAGAATCTTACGTTTCCCGGTTGGGGACTCATGGTCGATGTAATTTAAATAGGTAGGATGAAAAACTGGTACCATTACGTATATGGGATTGTACCATAACTGGTGCATATACCATAACTTACGCTACCGAATCTCGGAAAAAAAAATGTGATTTGTTTAAAGAGAGAGAGAGAAAGATTAGTAATTAGTTAGTAGTAATAGTGAAAATGTACCTGTGTTAATATAAATTCGTTAAAATGTGATGTTTTTCTTCAGTCGAGTATTAGTACAAGACACTGAAGAAGTCGCACATTGTAGACGAAATACGCGTATCTGTCAAGGATAAGTAAATAAGGTAGTGTAATTAAATGGAACCGGATTAAATGGAATTTTAACGAATATATATTAACACAGGTACATTTTCATTTAAAATTTAGGTGATTTGTTTCTATAGAACATAGAGACAAGTACCGTAGCTTTTAATGTGAACACTTTTTGGTTTGAACCACGCTAATATGTACACCGTTCAAAGTAATGCGATTTTATAAGGGTACGAAATTAAACACAAATCCAAAACAAAACAGAAAACAAGGTTTTCGATTAGCTTGAGTCTACGGTAGTCAACATTTAGGCCATTCACAAAAAAATCGCAATGTTTGTTGACCTATTTCGCTGGCTGAAAGTCATGCCAAAACTGTTTGAAGAAGTGGTTCATTGATGAGACCAGACAAAGCCAAAGTTTGCAGCAAACGTACACTGCTACTCTCATATTGAAGCGAAGGTTGATAACTGTCATATTTTCTTCTTTTTTTCTTTCAGAACTGGACAAAGTCGGTACATTGGATGCTATTTTGAGCGGTGCGTACTGCAGATCACAGATGTATCTCTCGAGGCAGATGGCCAGGCTGCGGCCCGAACTGACAATGTCAATGTTTTCTGGTGAGTTGATTGCTTTTGCTTTGATTGGTTTTAACCTGATGCTTGATGAAGTTGTTTGTTGACTGAACACAAGTCTTCAATAGAAATTGGATACTGAAGGAGCCCCATGGTTGTTTGTTCGCCCAAACCATCTCTTGCATTAATTCACACCTGAGGACATGTTGTGACATTAGATGGATATAACCAACAACGTACGATATACATAGCTAGGTGTTTTTTTCTCTGAATGTAAAAATCAGTTCACAGATTGTCATCATTTAAAACCATGTTTAAGGTTAAGATTCTCGTTTTCTCGCATGTACAAACAACGGGACCGTATAAAGTGAAGCCACGTATCAGTGTTTACAATTTATCCCGTTCCATTTCTTTACATTCACATCCGGTCGCGCGATGTGAAAATCCGAGATTGTGTACATAGTGCTCTTACCCTCCAATGTTGGTATGCTTATCCATTCATCCGTATAGCTCGGCATTTTTCGTAGGATGCATCTTTCATACAAGGCTGCATTTGCGTATAGAGTACGATGCACAGTTGCCGCCTGTTGGTGCTCGATTACAAATTTTGAATAATGATAATCCCTTTGCACTAACGTCTGGAAAAGCATCACCGTCAAGTTATAATAAATTGTGTGATGGATGGCACTGTGTGTTTTTAGCGAGCATCTATGGATTTTCGAGGAATGGATGCAAACATCCTTGGTGCATGTATAACGTAAACATGGTACAACCTGCTGAGCATATGGTGCACGTTTGATCTGTCATATGGAAAATGTGGCTTGTGATTTCAGCTTTTCCAAGGCCTATAACGGAAGGGAAATAAACCCGTTGGTCCCCGGTTCATGAGTTTATGGGTCGATATGTAGCGTCTAGGTGTGGGAGCTGCCTCCTTGGCGTCGGTAGCATTGGTACTCAGTACCAAATCAAAGCAAAATGCAAACAAAACTATTTTTTCCGTTTGTTTTCTTCAAAAATCGGTTTTTAATGTACCATTGAGTGATATAGACAATTTTTACATTTTTACAAAATTTCGGTCATTTTGGATGTTATAATTTTTTCAAAATAGCGTATTTTACATTTTTCAATAAATTGTAGCACGAAAACCTCACTTCTGATCGGAATGACGTCTCCGACAAAAAGAGAAGAAAGTGTAGAGGGTAGAGAAAAATAAAGACTTTCTTCGAAAAATACATGGTATTTTTTTTAAAGAAGTTTTGAGTAAAAATCCCAAAAAAGTGTTAAAATCACAAATATCTCAAAAAGTATGTCTTCAATTTGTTGATGTTCTACGATTTTTGTCAATTTTCAAGTGACAATGGTTTTTAATACTCCTAAAGTTTAAATTTTTCATGAACTTAAAAAATAAATTTGAGGTATTGAAGGTATAATTTTTGAGATATTTCAATCTTAACACTTTTTTTTTTAAATTATAACCAAAAAAAAATTACCGTGTATATTTTTCTCAGAATTACTTTATTTTCCTAAACAACTTTGTCTCAGACGTCATTTCGTTCAAAAGTTATTGAAGTTATTATGAAAAAAAAAGCAAAAAAAAAATACAAGATCCAAAATGGCTTATTTTATGCAGAAATTTGAATGATTGCCCATAAAATATAAAATTGTAAAGTTTCATGCAAATCGGAGAAGGTCGTGTCTTATTTTTATTGTTTTAATCGTATTTGACCTGGAACTGGTCATGAGGAGCAAGTATGCTGCATCAAAAACAATGAAGGGATCATTGAGTTTTAAAATTATCTAGTTATAAAATTATCTAACAACAATCCCATAAGAAATCTTAAAACAAAACATCCATTCTATTTTATAACAGGATGAGTTTTGCTTGGTTTTCAAAAACTGTAACGTAAAATATCTAGAATATGGGCGTTATTGAGTTATCATTGAATTTTATACGAATAAACTTAACGCTGTTTACCCATTTTCGAATAAATTTTTAAGTAGTTTTATAAATTGATATGTTATAACCAAACTTTACATCAAATTTGCTACATTCGTTTTAGACCTAAAATCTCTAAAACAGTCAAGAATATCAGGGGGAATCAGAATTTTATAACTTTTTGCTTTACAATCATACAATCCTTTCTAAAGGGCGAACACGAAATTATTGCGACACCGAAAATGTCATGCCAATTTTCTTATAATGTTTAGAATCAAACCAAAATTTTAGGGTAGTTTTATACATATATTTACTTCAAAAATCAAAAGAAAAGTTAATCGATGGAGCCTTGAGTGTAAAATTGAACGCATTTTCGCTTGATGCCCTCCATCAAAGTCTTTACAGTGTCATCCGGTACCAGTTTCTCAGTTTTTTTTTCCATTTTTTTAACATGTCCTTCTCGCCTTTGACTGTCTTCTTGCTCTTCCGAAGTTTCCGCTTCATTATTGCCCAGTACTGCTCCACCGGGCGCAGCTCCGGACAGTTTGGCGGATTCATGTCCTTTGGAACAAAATTGACAGAATTGGCCTCATACCACTCCAGGACACTTTTAGAATAGTGGCATGATGCCAAATCTGGCCAAAATAGCGGAGCTTCGTCGTGCTGCTGCAAGAACGGCAAAAGGCGCTTCTCGAGGCACTCAGATTTGCCCTTTGTCACGAAAGGCTCCCTTCTCAGTCCGCAAGAGCAGATGGCCTGCCAAATGAGATATTTGGAGGCGAACTTCGACATTTTCTTCTTCTTAAATTTGTCGTCCACATCGAACTTGCTCTTGCCGGTGAAAAACTCCAACCCCGGAATTTGTTTAAAATCGGCTTTTATATACGTTTCGTCGTCCATCACACAGCAGCCATATTTTGTAGCATCTTCTCGTAGAGCTTCCGTGCCCGAGTTTTAGCCGTCGATTGTTGCCGCTCATCGCAGGTGTTTGGAAAGAATTTGTTCTCTCAACTCGCGTTGGTTCACCTCCATTTTCGTTGAATCGAAAAACACGACTTCGAGTTTGACAGCATGTACACAATACACATCAATGAGAAAGTTTGGTTGATTTTAACCCAATGGTAAAAAAGTTATGCCCTGTTGAATGTGTCGCAATAATTTCGTGTTCGCCCTTTAGACACACGTTGCATGAACCTCATTTCTAACACAATTTGTAGACAAATTATACCCATAATCTCATAACAGTCCATCAAATTTTCTCGCAAATCGAGATTATTATCGTTCAAATTTTGCCCAGTTGTTGAGGACCTCATTACGCATTGAAAGAACAGGGGGTTGTAAGATCGATCCACCCTAATATATACTCAACATGATTGCAGTGTCTGCTCTTATGTACCGGCTCATTACGATAAGTAGTAGCAAACAAAAGTTAATCGGAGCGCGAAGTAGGTTCTATACAGTCATACAGGGCTGGCAAGCGTTTAAGATAGTTCTTTAGTGAATACTTCTGTGTTCTGCTGTTAGGAAAATCCACTGGTTAGGTTTATTATGTTATTTTATGCTAAGCAATAGTTGATTATTTCGTTGATCGAAATTTCAGGCCAAACAACCGGATATTTCCGTTTGCATTGTGGTAAAATTTCCCCATGTGAACCTGCTTGTATTCATGGGTTGAAGCAAGAAGGAGTTTTAATCTGCTATTAAAAAAAATCAGAGCGCTTCAGAACGTTAATGAATTTATTAATTGCTTTAAATTTCATCTAACATTATAAAGCTGTGTACACTGATTGAATTATCTTTCATCGTAGCTAACTAGCATCGTCGCGTCGATTTCCAACTTTTGCGAAAATATTTCTCGGTCTGTGAAATGGCTGACGAAGTTTTTCAATTTCACGGTCAAATTGATTAGTACTGCAACATTCACAGTCGGAGGAATCGGATGAGTCGATCGGTTCAATAGCTATTTTGAAGTTTTTAATAGTTTCCTGGCACGCATTACGAAAGTCTATGTATGACTCCACCAAATCGAGGTCGTAGAACCGTGCCTTTGGTGAGCTGATGTTATAAGTGTCGTCTTCCGGGGCCGGTTCTAGGAAAAGAGGTTCTGCGAAAGCGTGATAAATTCCACTGTTAGAAGTGCTACGAGGGGAAACATGGTCGTAGCATTGAAAGCTAGAATGCTCGATTTTCGGTTCGACTGTTTCTGCTGGTAGTTGAACACAAATCCGGGCCTCTATTGGTTCTGGGCTGTCGATTGTTGCATCATTTAAGTTGTTGGATTCTCCAAATTCGCAAAAGACTGTAAGCTGTTTGTTTCCTAATATTGTTTCTCCTGGAAGTGGGGAAAAGGCATGTTGTGAGGAATGTAAAAGCTTTTTCTTTTCCCGCTTCGTAAAGTTTTGCAGTTTTTTAGTTGGCTCAAAAAGTGTGGTGTCGTCAGGCATAGTTATTTCGCTATAGTTTATCTCCGCTGCTATGTTTAGAAATGACACTCGTTCTGATGGAAGTTCAACGTTGTTTAATTCCTGCTTTTTCTGTTCATCTCGATCTTTTCTTACATTGGTTGTTTTTAAAGAATGTTCATGAGCTTTCGCATCCTTTGAGTAAAACTTTGGAATAGGTAATTGCAATGAGATCTTATTTTTAGGAGCCGACGACTTTTGTTTATCACCATCCTTCTTATTTCTTGGGGCTCCGGAGCTAGTATGACCCTCGAAAAAGTTTATTTTTTGTCTTGTTCCGTTTTCAACATATGGCTTCACGGACATTGGATTTTCAATTTTGGGACCGGGACTAGCACCCGCTAGGACGCCGAAGTCATTTGTTTTAAGCCATTTTGTACACTTATCGAAAGTGGTTTGCCGGTCGTCTAGCGGCTGGCTGAGCCCATAAAGGATGTCTTCCTCGTCTCGATTTTGTTTGCGTTTTTCCGCGAAATCTTTCATCGCTTGAAGGCTGGTCGGTGTTCGTGCAATCTTCACAAGAACAGAAGGACTAATGGAATGTTGCTGTTCTTTACTTCTCTGCTTCAAACACACTTTGTATTGATTTAGGCAGCGAAGCAAACAATTCTTGATGATTGGCTGGTTGAGTTGGGTCAAAACGTCGTTTTTTGGAAAAGTTACTGTTATAACGAAATCTATGTCGTGTTTTTGTTGCGTGAGAATTTTGTCAACGGTTGGCGAGAGCTCGCTGCTGGGTAAACCATTAATAAAAGTAAAATGAATTGGACTTAACGCGCGTCTGATCTGACGCTCACTGAAATAACATTCGATTAGGACGTCATCTTTTCTGCAGGTAGTCACATCGATGTCCCTTTCTGTCAAGTGGAAAAGTTCACAGTACTTCGGGAGAAAAGCAGTAAGCCTGTTAGGAAACGAGAAAACAGAAATATTAATAGAAATTATATTTACTTTATACTTTCGCACCAACCATAGTCTATAGTCTATGGTTCATTCATTCATGCTTTGGAAGAATCAGTAGTAGGTGGCGAAAGTGGTATTTACCACCACAACATTCCAGAGGGGCGGAAAAATTGCTCTAATGTTCCTACAAAGGTCGTGAATCTTTACTTCTTGAAAATTTACTCAATTCTTCAGCTTCTTCCATGTTCATAATGGTTTACGATTCTTACAAAGAAGGTTATATATATCACTTGGAAAACCGACTTTAGATCCGAGGCCCGGAGGGCCGAGTTACAGATACCATTCTGCTCAGCTCGACGAGATTGAAAAATGTATGTGTGTGTGTGTGTGTGTGTGTACGTGTGTTACAAAATATTGTGATACGTGTTTCTCGGCAACCACATCACCAATCTTATTCGCATTTCAAACTTATTGCTTAGTGCATATTAGCATATTGCGTGCTCTCAACTTAGTGTTCTAAATGCACTTCCACAGTTATTAATTGAGAGCTTTCGATGCCAATACCAATGCATGAATTTGTATATTGTGGGGCAAGCACAATGATACTCTATGCCCAGGGAAGTCGAGAAAATTTCCAACCCAAAAAATTCCCTCGACCGGACCGGGAATTGAACCCGCCGCCTCCGGCTTGGTAATACCGTGCCTTTACTGATTAGGCTATGAGGCCCCTAAAACTAAATCTTACTAGAAACGAATTAAATCTATCATGTGAAACCTCAAATCACATTAATATTCAAAAACTAAGTCAATGAAAGTCATTTGAAGATCCTAGTTTATGACTGGGGTCAACATCCAACATGTGATACCTCAGATCACATCCCAAGTAACATTGCAAGTTTTATCATGGTTTTAAAGCATTCTACAAGTCTAAATCGTGGTCTTCGGAAACCTCATACAACTATTATTGTTACCTGGGATAAGAATACAAAAACCAGTTCAAAGGAAGTTATTTGGAGTGCCCAGTGCCACGTTGACCACATGCTGATATGTTCCTCATACCCCGGGAACGTGACCAGTTTTTGACTTGGGCTATCTCAAACCACATGAGAATTTATTTATTATATCATATCGTATGAGCACTTTGTCGGAATTTCTATGTATAAGAAGGGTCAGATCTCACCGTTGGTGGATTAAATCATTTTTTTTAAGTTCATTTAATTCGACTAAGATATCAAAACATCCATGACCTTCTCCAAACTATCAAGAAATACTTTGAAGCTTTTCTTTGAACTTTCCTATATTTATGTACATCTGGGCGAAACTTAGTAAACTAAATTTCCAAATAAAACCCTGAAGTTTTACGGATTTTTCACGCAGGGTTTCTTTTTACCTCTATAACGATGAGAAAAATAAATGTTTCTATCTTTCGAAGAGATTTCAGTTTCTAAAAGATAACACACGAATTTATACAGATTTATGACATGCTCCATTTTCACGTCCATGGAAGCTTGAAATCGAAAACGAATGAAATTTAAAATCCTACTATCAATACAAGCTGATATTTGTACACACTTTATATCAAAAATACTTGAACACATACCCATTTTACCCATTGAGAATTGCATAAAGGGTGTCCACGATGAAATTGCCACACTATGAAATTGCTCTAACTTTTTAACCGTTGGGTAGAATTTAATGAAAATTTGGGTGGATTTAGTTCATAGTGCATTATTTACATCCTGCAAGTTTTAAAGTCCTGTGATCAAAACTCGCGGAAATGGAGTTGAAAGAACAGCTCGTGCGTGATAAAATCTTGCGCATTCATCACGAGAACAAGGATCTCTCGCATCGTTCCATCGCTAAAACGTTGGGAATCGCGAATTCCACGGTGTCGCGAGTGATTAAGCGGTTCGAGGAACGGTTGACCACCGATCGGAAGCCCAGAAGTGAAGGAAAAAGTATTCCGTACAACACCAAAAATCACAACCGCGTAGTTGGGGCCTTCAACCGAAATCCGAACGCCTCCGTTAGGGATGTGGCTAAGAAGCTGCACCTAAGCCGAAGTTTTGTCCAAAAGGCCAAAACTAAGGCTGGGCTTCGAACGTTCAAGGTACAAAAGGCCCCTAATCGCGACGAGAAGCAGAACAAGTCCGCCAAAACCCGTGCCAGGAAGTTGTACCTCAACATGCTGACGAAAGTTGAATGCTGCATCATGGACGACGAAACATATGTGAAGGCCGACTTCAAACAGATCCCCGGCAACCTGTTTTTCACGGCCAAGGATAAGTTCAGCGTTCCGGAGCATGTCCGCACTCAGAAGATGTCCAAATTTGCGAAGAAATTCCTGGTTTGGCAAGCCATCTGCACGTGCGGGAAGCGGAGTGCACCTTTCGTGACCCAGGACACGATGAACGGACAGGTGTACATAAAAGAGTGCCTTCATTTATTTATTTATTTATTTATTTCGTCAACCAACGTAGACTAGTACAATTAATTAATACAGTTTTGTTTTCTTAAATATATATTTATATAAAAAAGTAGTGTCAGCATTCTTGTCTTTTCTTTTATGAGTTGTTATTTCTTATGGAATAAAAATATTGCTTTAGTTTATGCCGAGACATTGTAAAGTCAATGGTTTCGCAGTGTTTATTGTAAGAGGCCATCATGCGGTTTAATGGCCCATATTTTGCATAATTTGTGCGATGATGTTTTATGGCAAATAAATTTCGATTTCGGAGTTGCCGAGTGGGTGCATGGAAATTTAATTTTGATAAAAGTTCTGTTGAGTCAATTCGCTGCGAAACGATATCATTTACAAATGAAACCATTGCATATTCACGACGCTCTTTTAATGTTTGTATGTTTATAAGCATGCAGCGTGCTTCATATGATGGAAGAGGAAATGAAGTCCAACCTAATTTACGAAGAGCGTATAATAGAAATTGTTTTTGTACTGATTCTAATCTTTCTTCGTGCGTGATTGAAAATGGAGACCATACAATGCTGCAATATTCCAGTATTGACCTCACATAGGCAATATATAGTGTTTTAATTGTGTAAGGGTCCTGAAAGTTATAGCAAAAGCGCTTGATAAAGCCTAGCATGTTATTTGCCCTGTGAATAATTGTATTGTAATGGTCTATGAAAGTTAGCTTAGAGTCTAAGATAATTCCTAAGGCCCTAACTCTTTCACATTTGTCTACAGTTTGATTTCCTAATGCAATTGAAATATTTGAAGTTGTTCTTTTTCTACTAAATGATATTAAGTTACATTTTTTTACATTCAATTCTAGTAGACTTTTTTGCACCATATGTAGAATATGTGTATTTCATTCCGGAATATATTGATGTCTTCTTCATTTCTTATTTCCAAAAAGAGCTTCATGTCGTCGGCATAAATAAGCAATTTAAGTTTTTTGAGAATGTAAGATATGTCGTTTACGTATAGAATAAAAAGGAGAGGTCCCAAATGAGAGCCTTGGGGGACGCCTGAAGTGACTTGAATTGGGCTCGATTTCTTTCCGTTGAATTTAATTATTTGTTGGCGGTTAGTTAAATATGATTCAAGCCATTTCAGGAGCCCTGACTTAATTCCAATTTTTTGCAGTTTAAAGAGTAACATTGGTATGTCAATGCGGTCAAATGCCTTGCTAAAGTCTGTATAGAGAGCTTCTACGTGGTTTCCATTATCCATTGAATTTAATGAATAGTCTATAAATTCAAGTAAGTTGGTCGAGGTCGAACGACCCTTGAAAAAGCCGTGTTGCATGTCAGTAATTCTATTTTTGATTTGGAGAAATAATTTTTCGTTGATAATTGACTCGAAAAGCTTAGGAATGCAAGAGATAATGGCTATTCCACGATAATTACGTACGTCAGATTTTCGACCAGATTTAAAGATAGGTACTAGAAATGAGGTTTTCCAAATTTTAGGGAAGGTTCCGGATTCCAGGGACATATTAAAAAGCCAAAACAATGGAGCAGTGAGTTCCATTGCTAGACATTTAATAAATACTGGAGGAATTCCGTCAGGTCCAGGACCTTTTGAGGCATCTAAATTTTTTAAAGCCTGCAAAATGTCCTGCACTTGAAGTTGATTGAGGCCAATGTCCCTTGAAAATTCTGGATAAAATGCAAAATAATCGCGGTCACGATCTTCTTCAGAAAATGTCGTATAAATTTCTTGAAAAAATTTTGCGAATAGATTACAGTTTCAGAAGCGGCTGCTTCCTCTCCTGAAGGCCCACAACGTCCCAACAATCTTCTGGCCGGATTTGGCCTCATGCCACTGCTCCAAGGACGTGCTGAAGTGGTATGCAGACAATAAGGTCAATTTCGTGCCGAAAATGTTCAACCCTCCCAACACTCCGGAGCTCCGCCCCATCGAGAAGTACTGGGCGATTATGAAGCAGCACCTTCTTAAACGACCTAAGGTAGTGAAGACAGTCGAGGAACTGAAGAAAGTATGGGTTTACATGCAAAAAACGGTTGATTCACAGGTTGTGCAGAATCTTATGGCCGGGGTTAAGGCCAAGGTGCGGGCATTTGCGTATGGACTGTAAATAAAATACGAGTAAAATGGTAAAATGAAGTTTAATAGTTATTTCTCAATCCCTGAAAATTTGATGGCAATCGGATGAAAACTCGAATTTTGCGAATCAATTTTGTGTGTGGCAATTTCATCGTGGACACCCTTTATTTGTGAAATCGGTGACAGTTATTCTGAATCAACCTGTAAGAAGTATTCTGAATTTCTAAGATCTTTTGAGAAGTTCGCTGAGTTTCTTCAATTTTGACTGATCTCCTATGAAATTCCTTGAATTATCATACAAATATAATGGACTTACGTCGAAATGTCGTGGAACACATCAGAAATAACATAGGAGACTTTAGGGAGACTAGCAGTGATTCTGACTGGAGAAATACAAAGCGTTAGAGAGAAAAGTTCAAGGGATTTTGAAAGAAGCAATCAACGGCGGCGGTGAGCGGTGGTGAGAGCTGTCCAACTATTCATTACAAATTTAATATCAAAATTAAACAAAATAGGTCTAACTACCCCATTTCCGGGCTATTAAGCACAACCCGCACTTAGTCTTTCTTAATCTAGTGAAGTTCAACTCCAAACGAAATGTTATTATTTATGATAGCTTCCAAATTTTATTTACCTTTCCGTACGTACCGTAAGACTTAATAAAGAGAAACCAGTCGTTGAGATATTGTCAAAAGTCTAACACCGCTTCTTGACTCCAAACTCGGCCTACGGATTGTAAACTCGGCCTAACGCATTGAAACGCAAATGAATTAATTCGGCCTATCGAATGAAGATAAAAATTGATTCACTCGGAGCGCTTCTTTTGTTTTTGTGAATTATGGGTGCAAACCTTCATATCACGCGTTCTCATTACCTTAGTTCGGTAGCTTATTAACTAAAGTATCGTACCTAACCCATGGAAAGCATGGATTCATTTGATGTTTTCTGCTCGATAGGCCCAACATGGGCGATTAGGCTGAAGTAATTCTCTACCCTACGTACCAGGTTTGGCCTACAGATTCTAAACTCGGCCTAACGCATTGAAACGCCATTGAAACGACAATGAATTCATTTCGGCCTATCGGATGAAGATAAAAATTGATTCGGTCGGAGCGCTTCTTTTGTTTTTGGGAATAATGGGTGCAAACCTTCATATCACGCGTTCTCATTGACTTCGTTCGGTAGCTTATTAACTGAAGTATCGTACCAAACGCATAATTGACTTGTTAACTCTGAAATCATGGATTTATTTGAAGTTTTCTGCTTGATAGACCCAAAATGGGCGATAAGGCCGAAGTAGTTCTCTATCCTATGTATGGTTTTTTTTTTTATTTGTTTTCCGTCGATCTTGTTTTCCGTACTGAGTACCAATGCTACCGACGCCAGGAAGGCAGATACCACACCTAGACCCTATCTATCGTCCCATCAACTCATGGACCGGGGACCAACGGCTTTACTTCCGTGATCAAGGATTTTATACCTGCGAAAATCCTGACTGGGATTGAACCCAGGCCTTTTGGGGTGAGAAGCAACCACTAGACCACCGGCGCCGCTAAAGTGTGCAATGCACAGAAGTTCAAATTAACATGACGAACAGTAATCACGGTTGACCCGTTACATTCCGAACATTTCGTTTAAAATGAACAGGTCTAGTGTGTATGGTTTTCAATACACTCAGGTCTTTTTTTTACACGGGGGATACGTACCGTGTAAAAAAAAAAACCGTGTAAAAACAAAAACCTACGAGATTTTGATTTTTCGCATGCTTAAATGTTTTTAAAAAATCAGATTTTGATGCCATTTGTTATTAAAGCATGATATGGTCCATACAGACATATTTTAAAAATTTCTGTCTTTACACCAAAAATTGTGATTTTTTTGGCATACTTAGACCATTCGATTACAAATAGCTTGAAACGGATAATGTGATTGGAATCAAGTCGATAGGTTGTATCGTTGTCGAGAAATCGTTAAAAACGTACCGTGTAAATCGTGGAAAACCGTGTAAAAATAACCGTGTAAAAAAAAACCGTGTAAAAAAAAACCGTGTAAAAAAGACTTCAGTGTACTTCTATAATTTTAATTAATATTTAAAAAATAAATTTTAAATATTGCATAGTATTGTTTTCACCATTAAACGCTGTGAAAAAAAATGATAATTTTTAGGAGTGCAATAAACTCATTTATTCAAAAGGGATATGTTAGTAAGAACAGAAACCTATGTTAATCATCGATTTCCATTAGGTGCAATTACGGCCTCAACACGCTTCCGGAATGCTCGATAAGTTCTGATAATATAGTCCGGATCCATATCCAGGGGCGGGACAATGTTTATCTGAGGCTTGCTGTACTGTAGTGGCGTTTGGCACAGGCATTCCCTAATAAAATTTACTGTAAAAGAGAGTTTTACGACGTGTTCCAACCCATTTGTGGGATAGTTTACCCATCCGCGATACAGTTTGTTTATGGTATTTGTTTATTAGGGTTGGCCTTCATGACGCGCCACACTGAATAATCCATCGGGGCTGAATGGCAGCCTCATGTCTTTTGGCCCGAACGACAGATGTCCCTTCAGACCACATTCAGCTCCGTCCATTCCATATTGCTCAGTAATCCACGGAAGGACATACTTACTAAGAATGTCGGTATACACCTCCGTATTCACTTTGGATGGTGCAAACATTATCATTAGATAGGGGAAATGGTTCTAATGTTAGCATATGGGTCCAAGATTGGGCCCATCGCTAAAAATCTGCTATTTATCAATTTTATCTAGATGAATGCGTCATTGGGACGGTACTAATGGATATTTTTGGTCGCTATTGACAATTTAGTCGATTGCTGAATTTATATATGGGCCCAAATTAGGGGCATTTAGGCGTACATTACATCCATTTCCCCTATTTCAGTTTTTTCCACCTTTGAAATTTTACTCGAAATTACTTTTAAAAAATACCGTATATATTTTTTTTTCAGAATTACTTTGCTTTTTCAAACAACTTTGTCACAGTTGTCATTTCGATCAGTAGTTAAAACGTCACATATTGAAAATTGTCAAAAACGCCATTTTGAAAAATATAAACCATGATCCAAAATTACCGAATTTTTGCAAAAATGTGAATGATTTCCATTGCACATAATTATGCAAAGTGTCAATCGGAGAAGGTTGAGTCTCAATATTTATAATGTTTCATCCTATTTGGCCTGGAAATGGTCTATGGAGAGATAGAGAGATGTCAGCAATGGTTACTCCCGCAGTTTTTCAATCCACAATTTACTTAGGCCTTAGGTTTTCATTCATCGAAAAGGTATGCAACTGTACATGACTCATTTTTCGGACCTTCGTATAAATTATCATCTGCTGCAGTATAAAATTATACACTTGAGTCGCTTTTTACGCGCGTGATACGTGCCGCGTAAAAAAACCGCGTAAATTCCGAAATCCGCGTAAATTCCGAAATCAGCGTAAAAAAACCGCGTAAAAAGCGACTCCAGTGTATAACGATAAACCACGTAAATTCCGAAATCCGCTTAAATCCGGATGAACCTGTTTACCAACTAATTACGTGTTCACTTGAAAACTGATTGTTACCCAGCTATAATTTACGATTATATTAAATATCACGTAACGAAGGCAGTATTGAAATCATGTGTTAACCTGTTGCAATGCAGTACCGCCAAAGGACCTACCGTTTGCTTTTGAAAACCACTTCCGAAGTTCCCAAATCCTGTAGCGTGAACGAACGGTCGTAGTGAATCAGCGCCAATGAACGCAAAATCACCAGCAGATTGCTATAATCCTCTTTAATGGAATGGTTACGCTTCCGGTCCGAGTCTTGGAAGAAAATGTTCTTCAATGTAACGGTGGTACCCCGCGATTTGCGGACGTAGTGGTATTGCGAAACCGGTTGAAAATTCCGCTGGGAACCGTCGTTAGCTGCGATGTTTGTTTGTTGTTTGAATAGACGCGAGTGGGATTTGTTGTTTTTGCCGTTGCATTCGTCTACGGATTCAATCAGCACTTCCTCGCATTTACCGATGAGGTACAACAAGGATTCGCCTGTCAGACGGGCGAATTGTTTCGATGGCTTTTTCCGATCGTGGTCAATGTTCATCAGACAACTGTCACCGCCGCCGGGGAGTACATTTTGATTTATAAACTTTTCATGGAATGCTTGCACTTGAATAAATAGGAAACGAGCTCTTACCATTTTCCAATACTCTGGAGATCCTCTTCGCTGATTCCATTGCCGTTGTCCAATATCTGAATCCAAAACAGTTCCAAGCAGACTCGAATCGCAATGGAGGAAGAGTTCGCATCGAGTGAATTTTTTATCTGTCGTAAAACAAAACAAAGCCAATGTAAAATGCGTGGGATTCATGGGAAATTGCGGATTGAAGGTTTTCCGTTGCGTCCTAAAAGCATACTCACCAGTGCAACAATGATTTCGGTCAGTGATTCCATCAGCGGCGCACGTGGGCAGCTTCAAGGATCAGTTACCGTCCGTCGGTTCGTATACGTGATTGACTTTGATTTATTTACCACTCGATTGAGTGCGTCATAGTCAGTGGACAGAATGGGCAGTCTAAACGATGAGTGCTTCGATGGAGCAAGTCATCGTGTTTGGGAAAACGGGCAACAAAGGTCTTCAGGCTAATGGAATGATGTGAAGCGAAGCGTTATAATCTTTGTTTGGAGGTTTGGTGGTTTCTTTAACTTCGGTTTGGGATTTGTAAACTGACGTGCCTACATAGGGTGGAGCACTATTTCGTCATACTGGAACCCATTTTCGTCAAACGCCTCATAAAAAATAAAGACAATCAGCTACATCCAACATTTATGCATCAAATTCTTTCCTCACGAGTTAATTCTACAGGGATGTCAAATTACTGATTTAAAGGGCGTATACTTAGGCAAAGTGAACTATGGAAAAGTAGTACTGCACCCTACAAATATGTTTTGTCTGCAATAGACACTTTTTACGAGACGTTTCTGATCAGATGATTTTTCAAATCATGAATGAACTTTGACAGGAAGCAGTTACCTATCTGCTTTGAGAAGCAACATCAATATCATCATATCTGTCAGGCAAACCGGCTCCCATGATCTCCTGAAATTGACTATGCCTTCTATTCAATAACATTATTGCGCAATAAAGACGAAATATTCTTTGTTTTTAAAAAGGATAGGGTCAAAACCTTTACCTTTCATCGTGAGGGGGTAAATGAAGTTCATGAGCGCTCATTTTTGCAGATGCATCACGTTTCAGGACATCGTTTGGGCTAAATTGAGCGCTCATGGGCTTCATTTACCCAACCCCCGATGATAATGATACTAATTAACCCTAGCTTCAATGAATAGGCAGCAACGTTTTGTGATTGATAGATGCTGTCTAATGATGAAGGTATACAGAATGGGAGAAGTTATCTGCATATTTTTTCTCAGTGTACGCTCGTATTTGACATCTGGGCCAATTTTGACCTTGGTCACATAACATATGTGGAACTTCATGCAAAAAGCTGACTCAAAGTTGACCCCTTTTTTTGTTTTGCCTCAGTGGTATAACTGGCATAGTTGGACAGCGATCTGTCAAAATAAAATTTTCGTTATATCGATAATGAGCATTCATAAGGACCAATGTCGAAAACATAAATATTGGCTTCTTTCGTAAATGTCTCGTACGTCGAAGTCAATCCAAGTAAGGCACTCATTTTATCGGATTGGAGGACTCTTTCTGTACACAATCATGGTGTTGGTTTTCTTGGGTGAGTTTTCATTTTCGAGAAATTCACGCAAAAAGTAATTGTTTACGTTTGCAGCATTGGCCCTTATGAAAGAAAGCATTGACGTTGACGGCGACTCTGTAACTAGCTCTGTAACTCTTTACTCCTGGTGAAATCCCATAAGCATCTGACAATCTATGCATGAAATCTAGCGGACTTTGTCTTATCTGTCATTCCTCTAGCAAGCCACCGTTTCTTCGGGCAAAGATTGACAGAATCATATGGGTTTTCCATAGGAGTGAAAGGGTAAGGAAATGTTCACCAAGTTTCACGCACAGACTGATGTCTGCTTATGAGATTTTACCATAGGAGTGAAGAGTTACAGAGTGACCGAAGAGGCGAATTGGCAATAGTCACGGTAATGCGTAATGATATGTAAACAGGTGAGGCCCAGATAATTTGTCGTCTCTTTTGTTCTTCCGCTGTTTAAATCCTTGACGGAGTTTGACGTGTGGGCATTCTTTTTTCGACTAGTTCGCAAGGGGGTTCTCAAAGGATTTTTAACTAATATTTTCAAGTCGGTTAGAAGCCAATCAAGAGCGTTGTTATTCAGTAATATCAACAATCAATACGAAACTATCGATTTTAAATTGGCTCACTACTTGACTAGCCTATTGGTCCCAAGCAAATCGATAAACGTACCCCATTCTTGAAGAAATTCTAGTACTACACTATGTTTGTTTTGATTCGCTTTGAAAGTTTTCCTATGTTTCGAGGGGTGCATTGATTAGCTTGGGACCGAAGAGGGTACCAGAACTGAGCCAACAAGTTGAGCACGTTTCTTCGGGACCTTCTGGTTTTAGAGTTACCTCTATGCTATAACCATAGAGGTAACTCTAAGACCAGCAGGTCCCGAAAAAACGTGCTCAAGTTTTTGGCTCAGCTCTAGTACTCTCTTCGATCCCAAGCTAATCGATGCACCCCTCAAAAATAGGAAAATCCACGAACCCCTCATTTCATCTGTCAAACTTTCATAGCGAATCAGAACAAACATAGTGTAGTACTAGAATTTCGACTAGAATGGGGTACGATAATCATTTGCTTGGGACCAATAGGCTACACAGTAAAAAAATAATTTTGATATCACATCAAAGTGGATGCACTTCAATCGTGTCAAAAATATGGCGTAATATTACTTGCCAAAAAGGACAAAATTATCAATAATACAGTGCATGAACTGACATTACGCTGTTTTTACTGCATTTGTTTATTTTTGTGGCCATAAAAAATACATGAGATTTTCGACATGATTGAAGTGCATCCTCTTGGATGTAATATTAAAATTTATTTTTTGCTGTGTAGTCAAGTTATTTATTTTTTGCTGTGTAGTCAAGCCAATTTAAAATCGTTTGTTTCGTATTGATTGTTGGTAATATTGCCTATTTACAGATGCAATATTTCTTCGTCTCTTCGATCTTTTTGGTTTGCATTGGATTCATTACGGAAATTATGTTAATTGCATGTAATTTAATGCAAACAATTCGAAGATGATTGATGATTACGTCGAATAGGTGTGAAACTATCATTATGTCTGTGATATGTTGAAATATGGTTAACTGTGCTTTTAGTGAGTCAACTTATGATTACAGCACGAAATATCCATTTGAAGCATATTAACGATTATTTTCGTTAGTAAATAGTGCTTAACTTTGATACATCTAGCTGGGAGTCCCACCCTGGGACCTTAGCCATAGTGGTCGAATTTTTTTGTTATGATTGTGTGTAGCTCCTCCTTTGCCTTTTCGACCAACAAGGATCAACCTTACCACGGTTTTTTGAAGATATTTTCAATTGACGGCAATTGAGAAACATAGGGAGTGTTGAAATCTTGGATATTGCAGGTATTGATAAGCGCTCGATATCATTTATCGTCCAGCTTGCAAAATTCTTGCGAATGAAACGATGCAAAGTCAGCTCAAAACACTGCATATTTTTCAAATTGGACTTCTGACTCTTGTTCCAAATTTTGCTGCTTCTCTCTGGACTTCAAAATGTAAGCACTTAATTCCAAATTTACGTGGTCGTATTTTTCCTCCTACGAAACCCAATGAAATTAAAGTTTGATGCAATTGGTTCCAAAAAATTAGAAAATGTCCAAAGAAGGAAATGTTACATACATGTTTCTTCTAAGTTTACCACAGTTTTGCTGTGTTAATCATGGTGATAAATTTGTTAAAGTTAGTTATATAATTATAAATAAAGCACATAAATGGTTAAGGAAATAGTAAGACATGAGTTCAGGAGTGCTAGGAACACATAGAATTATAAACCACGGTAGAATTATTTAAAAGAATAGACAAGCCCCTTGATCCCTTTTCTCATTTTACAGCTGGTATAATCAATTTGACAGATCGATGTCCATCTATACCACTTGAAATCACTGAAATGGGGTCGATTTTTGTTTATCGAGTTCCAAATATGTTATGTGCCTTGGTTCATGTTTGGTTCAAATCCGTTCAAGCAAGGAAATCCTCCGGTTTGTTTCGCATAGCCCACGTAGTAATAGAACAAACACATTTGGGTCTATTTCGGATTTGAATTAACGGATGTGAAAACGGTTTTCCCTCAAGTGCATGCTATTGCATATATTTTAAGAAAAAAATACGAAACGAATTATTCGTCGCGGTTTCGATGGAATTCTCGAACTTTTCCCTTAATACGACCTATCAAGCGGCGCACAACGGTTTCGTCTACTGTTTTGGCGATTTTATCCCTAATTTTTTTCATTTGAGCTGCCGTTTTGTTGACTGTACCTTCTACCTTCAGTTTCCTCTTCATCATTGCCCAGTAGTTTTCAATGGGCCTGAACTGGGGACAATTGGGCGGATTGAGGGGTTTTTGGAACGAACAGGACTCCGTTGTCATTGTACCATTGTTGTACTTTCCAGCTGTAGTGACAACTTGCAAGATCCGGCTAAAATGTCGCCGGACCATCATGTGACCGGATGAAGGGCAGAATTCGCTTCTGGAGACATTCGGTTTTGTAAACCTCCGAGTTCATCGTTTTCTCAGTGACGAAGACCTTTGTCTGCTCTGCCAGACCATACATTTGCGTGCGAATTTATCCGCAAATACAAATTTGAATCTGCCAGGGACACCTCCTCGAGCCTTCGCCTTGTAAAATGTTGGTCCTTTTTTTTATCCAGTTTGTTTATTTGGAAGGGTCAATTGCGTTAGCTTTACGGAGCAAATAATTCATTATTCACTGTTTGGGGACTGTTCAGAAACTACGTAGACAGTTTAGAGGGGGTTGGCAATTATCCACGGCCCATACAATTTTTTAAAAAAATGTATGGGCAATATCTGATTGCAGTCGAAAGCTCTTGTAAGAGTGTCAAAGTCAGGAAGAAGAAGAAGAATAGAAAGAAGAAAAAGAAGAAGAAGAAGAAGAAGAAGACGAAGAAGGTGATACTGGTAACAAGAGATATACGATACAGTACCCGAGCAAAGTAAAATAACAACCTGATATCAAATTGAAAACAAGATTTGTTATTCCAGGTATCATTTTGTTTCAGTTGTTATCGCATAACTAATTTAGTTGCTCAACCTCGACTAATTTTGTTATCAGTTGTTATCATGAAAGAATATGAAATGATGCAAGCCCTAATAAAAATGTTATGGTTAATTTGCTTAACGACGTGTTCGGGGTATCATTCAAACCATTTGTGGAATAGTTTAATCATTTGGGTTATCGTTCGTTTATGGTAATTTTTTATTAGGGAGGTTAGTTAAATACTTCAAATATTATCCGCGTGGTAAGAATAAAAAAAACACTGCCAATCATATTTCAGTTATCAGTGTAAGGCTTTAATCGATAAAATAATATAAAATTTGTTGAAATTTTTTGAGTTTTTTACTTTACATGATACAATAATACAATAAAAAATCCTTAATATATAATTCCTAGAATAATAAATTTTGAAATGCCTTATTTTGAACACAAAATGTGAATTCAGGATCATTCAATTACTTTAAAATTATGTGGATTACGATTTTAAACAAACATTTTCATTACGACCGGTTTTTTATACACACTACCAAAAAGTCATGTAAATTTCCGTGCCCTGAGACCGACACATGCAAGCGGTCCAAATGACATAAGAATCAGTTGAAAGAAAAGAGAAAATAAATTCAATCAATCGTACTTTTCGTCGAGTTGCGTATGTTTCTGTTTGGGAACACTTAATTTTACATGACATGTTTGTTTACGTTCCATAATTTACGTCAAAGATTGTAAAAATAGTTATTTTTAAGTGTGTATGAAGTCGCCTCACTGTGCACTGAGCTCAAACGGTTTCAAATCGGGTTCGCATGGTCATATCGCGTTAAAAGTTTTTACCTGTGTAGTAATGCTGCTATCACATCCATTTAAAATGCACTTTATTTTTAGGCAACGATAATTCGTGTTCAACACAGTAAACAGCGCCTATGGCACAACAAAAATTAAAAAAACCATCCCGCCACTCGCGACAAACTTTCCTAACAATAAATCACGCATTAACCGAGTTTGCTTGCGAATATTTGCAGCAGCTGTCAAATGGACGTAAAATCGAATCAGAGAACCAGGATGTTTCGGCTTCACACAAAGTATATGGGAATGACATTCGTGTCATAGATGTGGTTCTGGTATCAGAATGAAGGTTCAGGAGGCCCGTTTCCCTGAAGATGGGAGCACTTTACTACAGCTTTTGGCATAATTCACCTGACAAAGGAAAGGAATGGGAATGGAAATAGAAACTGGGTAGGATGACCATCCCTGAAATTTATTTACTAACAGCTCAGAGTAAATATTCCAGTATATTAAATTGGAATTTCTTAATCACAAAGTCCGTAAAGCAACAATCAAGTTTTCATAGTACATTCAGGTCTTTTTTTTACAAAAAAAAAAAATAAAAAAACGTGTAAGAACCTATCAAGATTTTGATTTTCATTTTTCATATATTTAAAAAAAATTGGATTTTGATGCAATTCGTATTTGTAGCATGCAATGGTCCATATAGACATATTTTGAAAATTTCTGTATTTACACCAAAAATTGTGATTTTTTTAAAAATATGCCATTTGATTCCTTACAGCTTGAAACGGATAATGTGATTCGAATCAAGTCGATTGGTTGTATCGTCCTCGAAAAATCGTTAAAAACGCACCGTGTAAATTGCGACTCAGGGGAACCAACCGTGTAATAAAAAACTGTGTAAAAAAACCGTGTACACTCAGGTCTTTTTTTACACGGGGGATACGGTCCGTGTAAAAAAAAACCGTGTAAAAAAAACCTACGAGATTTTGATTTTTCGCATGCTTAAATGTTTTAAAAAAATCGGATTTTGATGCCATTTGTAATTAAAGCATGATATGGTCCATATAGACATATTTAAAAATTTCTGTATTTACACCAAAAATTGTGATTTTTCTTTAAGTATGCCATTTGATTACAAATAGCTTGAAACGGATAATGTGATTGGAATCAAGTCGATAGGTTGTATCACTGTCGAGAAATCGTTAAAAACGTACCTTGTAAATCGTGGAAAACCGTGTAAAAAAAAACCGTGTAAAAAAAACCGTGTAAAAAAAAACCACGTAAAAAAAACCGTGTAAAAAAGACTTCAGTGTATGTATATTAGAATGCTAATGAATGTATGGAAAAAAAAGTGACCATCGAATTTTCCAAAACGCCCATATACAAAATGCTTATTGCCTCGTATAGGCTTAAATTAGGCCAACATTACATCCATTTTCCATTTTCCAAATTGCTATGAAAAGATATCGTAGTGTTTTTTTTACAACATTTAAAACAAATAAGTTATTTGCAAACAACACAGATCTGCTGAAACATGAATCCACTGAACTGACATTTTTCATTCACAAAGCAGGCCCAGGGCATCAAATTGCTATTTGAGGAGTTATTTATTTTGACCAACTAGATTGCAATTCTGGCCCACTGTGAAGTGGATCATACATTTCAAGCTTTGCATACGGTACAGGTACATTTTGATAAAATGTGTTTAATTTTCAAACAACCTTTGATTGAGTAATTCCTGATGAATTTGTTAATCTGATTCATTTTAATCTCATTCATATTCCTAGCATTTACTAATCCCTTTCAAGCGTACACTCATCGGTAATTAAATTTATACTCGTTAGTCGCTGTCTATCGAGGTGAGCGAGCAATACTGAAGCGTTCAACTAGCTAGGCAACCCTGACATCCGGAAGGACATGTGTGGCTTCCATGCTTTCAACTCTTTTCATATTTTTTTTCTACGTTTTTGTTTACTCAAGGGACAGGTGATACGAACCGGAAAGATTGAGTGGGATCTTTATTAGCGTGGTAAAAAACATAAAACAGTTAGGGTATACGTCCCTAACCTCGGTCTAATATGCAGCCATAGATTACGTTTTTAATCATAACTCATCAATTAATTTACCTGCAAACGATATTCTACTGCTAAATGGTATGCTTAGATATGCTTATCATGTCGTTTGCTATCAGGAACCGCAAAAAGTTGAAAAACTTACTTTTTTTAAGACAAAAACTCACCAGGGAAATGTATGTAATATCGGTCTATTGTCCCCAAATTGGGTCTATTTATGGATGCAACTTCGTCCTATCCTGTTTGATTCTCAAAAAAAACGCTCTTGGTAACGTTTTCTTATGTATTTTTTTTATCACTATCACTGTTAACTTAATACTCTTCATTCCTCAAAACATTTCTTAGAGAAAATTTTACGAAAACTACATTAAATCACTCAAGTTAAAAATTAAAAATTAAAAATTTCGCTTATCGTCTTTCGACCGCAGAATATCTAAATCAAAACATTGTGATGTTCATTATACAGATTTGGCAGAAAAAATCTCCCTTCCTGTTCGTTCCTTATCATCCAAATGCAAACCACATTGTTGACGTTACTCTTATTGCTATATGCTGTCAAATGAATTTCATGGGCCAAAGTTAGGAACATAGAAAAGAAATGTGTCCCTAAAGTTGGGTCCATGATTTACTTGTGAAAACGTTGTTAAACAATTAAAATAAACATAAAATATTCAAACAGTAACTGTGAGTTTTACGTCTAGTGTGTATTATCAGGTAATTCCATTCAATAAATGCCATAATCAGGCCATTTTATGATCGTCAGTGCAACCTTCCCATCTTAACCTTAGAAGTCATGGCGGCTAAAAACTCCGAACAGAGTGATATTCTCAACCAGTTTTATTACTTACGAGAGCTGAAAATGTATTGAAATGTTGTGATATAAATTGATTTGTGTGTGGTACACATTTATCAATCATCAGTGATCAATATTTTCCTTATTTTTTGTGTAATATTCCTTAATTAATTATTTATTTGCGTGATAGGCCGAATGAAAGGACTAGACCCACATTACATACCGTAACCCTATAATAAAAAAAAACATCTAGCACAGTTAATCACAACGACCCGGTGTTATGGTACTTTTTTCCTTCTAGCCGTGATCATAGCAGATGAATGCAGGGATATCTTTCTCAACCGTGGATGGGGTTTGTTCAGTATACATAGGTGGCTCCAGGAAGTCTATATGGGTTGCCTACTCAAATTCACGAAGATATTTCAGTACCCATAAACATTTCATTTGAATTTCCAATGATTTCTTAAAAAAAAAAACTCTTAGAGGCTTTCCATGTTGGGAGATTTTGTAGCAATCTATAATGAAATCAATCAACGATTACTGGAGAAATTTACCAGTAAATTTTGAAACAAGTACTTTTCGACGTTCTTGTGAAATTTAAAGTAACTTATGCTAGCTTTTTTTGTATAGCAATATTTTATATTATATTAAAAAATGATTCTTTCTTACAACAAAAAAGCTGGCTCGTTCCTCCTTTCGCATCCGTTGGGCCGCCAGTGTTCGTAGACGAACTTTTTAATGCTGGAAAATCTCAACGAAAAGGAGCTGTCGGCTGTAAAATTATTTATTATCGGTCTTGTGTGCGTGTCTGTTGTACGTGAGAGACTGTTTAACAAAATTATCCAAGAGGAAGGCATCTTGTTGGCTTTTGGAACTTTTGAATAATGACTTTATGCGCACAATAATGGAGTGGGATGAACATTCAATCCGAGTGCGAGGATAAGTTATTGTCAAGGGAGAATGTTGTGATTGCTGATTGTGTGATAGTCATTTATTTGACAGCTGAGGTGGCAGATTTTTATAAATGATTATGATACATTATGAAGTTTTCAGATTTTCCAATTTTATAAAACAACTATTTTAGACGACCAATCAATAATGTATCGTTAGTCACTTTGCATATTCTTGGTAAGTTCATGTTTGGTTGATTTCTCATACTGACACGCAGGTATATATAAAAGAACTGTTTGAAATACTGAATTGCTAAGGCAGAAAGTTGTTGTTGACATTTTTTTAAATAAAAGTCGCACAAATATAAAAAAAAAATCTTGAAAATATATTTATATAAATATAATATATGTAGTGGTTAACATCCATACCTCTCACGCCAATGTCACGAGTTCAAATCTCATCCCCGGACAAGTCACGGATGACTCAAGAGTGTTAAAGTGACTATAATAAAATAAAATGTAGCTACTTTACCATAACAAAAAAAAAATCACTTCACTAGACTGATAGGTATGAATGTATAATTGGTTTTAAGATTTGTATGAACAATCCATAACTGAGTTTACGGGCCCCATTTGTGTCTACCCACAAATTTGCAATAAACATTCGATATTTTATAGTTGATTGAATATTCCACATAGCATTTTATCAGGCAGTCTGGATAAGACCAGCCATCCATAAATTAAGATTCTTCAGCGCAGAATATATTTTTTTATATTGCTGAAACCAATTGATGCTGACATAGGGAGGGAAAAAATACATTGAATCTGTATGCTTTAACGATAATTTCGTTTTCTGCTCAATTGTGCGTATAGATTGAATCTTTTCCGATCGATTTTCTCACTTCGTATTATTTTTCAATTTTCTTTCAGAAATAACACATCGTTTTCAGACGGCTCGCTCTGAAGTTCGTGCACTGCTGCTACAGTGCTTGCTACCTTGGCTGGAAAACGTGGAACTGGTCGCGTCTAGTGTTCCACCAGCGACACCGCTTTCCTACATTATGGTAAGAACCGACAAGTGTCTGCTCGTAAAAAAATCGTCTTTTTCACCAACAACACGAAATAGTCATCTCCGTGCATTATTATAGGCGCACGTTTTTTATGGCGATCGCACGAAATGCTTTTCAAAGTCCTATTGTCAAAAGAGACGACGTATTTCGTTGGCTGTTGAAAAATGACCATCACACTGTCACGCCTACAAACAAGATTTGTTGTGTCTGATGGTTATGACAAAACCATTACGTAGGTTTAGACTTTTCTGAATAACTTTCTCATCTTTAACTTTTCTGTCTCATAACACGTATCCCCAAGCTGCTTCAGGGTTAACGAGTAAATTATTTTTAAACATCTTTCTCTTTTGTCACCTTTTTTCAGTATTATCCTGACTCGGCGACACGTGGCAGACGAGAAGGCTCCGGATCGACGGAGGCGACCGAGATGATTTTGAACAACTTGTTCTACATCACCGCCAAGGTAAGTGACTACCCGAGCAAAGTACAGCATCAAAATGACAGCAATTTGAAATCAAGTTTTGATATCAACATCAATCTGAAACCCTAATTTGATTTCAGTTTATGCAATTGACAAATTTTGTTTTCATTTTGCTGTACATTTGCTCTTCAAAAATATCTTGTTGCGGGTTTGTTTTCATGCCTTAGCATAACATCAAATTGAATACTTGTTTTGTTATCAACAGGAAAAATTGATATCAAATTGAGTTTTCAGTTTGCTCTCACTGATAGCAGAAATAGTTTTCAATGTGATGTCACAGGAAGATTTTTTTGCTTTCAATTTTGATATTTCAATCGTTAAAACAACCAAAACGACAGCAACCTGAGCAATCATTATCAGCGAAATCACAACATTAAATTTAGATTTCAATTTGATCTCAGACTTTGCTCGGGTAGGTATACCCGAGCAAAGTCGGTAAACAAATTGAAAGCAAATCGATAGTAAAGTTTGCAGTAACTATCATAATGAAAACTCATTTTGATTTCAATTGTGGTGACATAAGTCTGATATCATATTGTGCTTTCATTATGCAGTCAAAACTTTTTAAATGAAAGCAACTTAACTTGAAGTTTTGCTGTTAACTAATGATTATTGTTTATTTGTTTTGTTCAACACATTTTAGGTCCTTCATGACTTGCCCGGGGTGAGATTTGAGCTCAACTCTTTCACCGTGAGAAGCATGGATACTAACCATTTACGCCATGCCCGTATTCAGTTAAACATTATGAATGCAAAATCAGTAATCAAATTGATTTCATTGAAAGCAGGATTAGTTTTCCGTTTGCTTCAACAGTGTAAAATTTTGCTCTTATTTTTGCTGTGTTAACCGTTAAGTCAACCAAAATGAGATCAACTGGAGTATTCAAAATAAGTTACATCATAACAGCAAATTTTGATTTCAATTTGATCTCCAGCTTTGCTCGGGTATGCTTTTCCTCTTATGTTCCAGTCAGTAGAGTTAGATCTTTATTTGAATTGGAATTGTATATCCATGTGTGGTAATCTGGTAATATAATTGCCGTCTGGTGAATTATTCATTGAACGGAGGCGACCCAGGCGTAGTGGTTTACATCCATACCTCTCACGCCAAAGTCATGAGTTCAAATCTCACCCCCAGACAAGTCACGAATGCCCCAAAAGTGTTGAAGTGACTATCATAAAACAATTCATTGCACGGGTATTTTTTGACTATTTAAATTGAAGCAATTACAGCGATAGATTTTTCTTTAAATTAAATTATACGCTTTTCTTTGTTTTTGATTTATAAAATTTCCGCTCTCAACTCAGTACCGTTTAAGCAAAATCGTCAATTGCTGGCATATGGAAGCTAAAATCAAGGAGAAAGTAATTGAGTATGGTTTATTACAATGATACAATGATTTCGAACTACAAAATATGATTTTTCATGATTTTCAAGGCAATTTTTAAATCGATTCCAAACTGATAGTGGGCAAACTCCTGATTTATGGTGCAATGTGCACCACACAGGCAGGCATGGAAAATCATTTGCATTCATTTCATACATTCATTTACATTCATTTGCCTCTAACTTTTTTCATCAACAGCATTCCGCAAAACGATGTATAGAGCTTTTGTAGGTTTTATTATTAGCTACAACTTTTGCTCATAACTCAAATCTGTATCTCTTATGCATCACGAACTAGAGCGGGCAGAACTTGTTACTGTTTTTCAGTGAATGTAAAATACATTCACTGAAAAACAGTAGTGGCTTCTGTTCGCTCTGGGTCGTCATGCATAAGAGATACGAATTTGAATTTATAAAAAAAAGTTGTAGCTACTAACAAAACCTACAAAAGCTCTATACATTTTTTTGCGAAATGCCGTTCAAGAAAAAAGTTAGAGGCAAATGAATGTAAATGAATGCACGAAATGAATGCAAATGATTTTCCATGCCTGCACACAGGGTTGGTAGCAGGTCACTTTTTAGTGGCTAGGTCACTATTTTCAAGTCAGTCTCTGAAAAGTCACTTTTTTCATCAAAATGTCTCTAAAATCACTATTTCTTCAAATTTAGTCACTAAAGTCCCTTTTACCTTTTTACGACCACTTTTGAGAGTGCATAATTTGCCTTTAAAAACTCACATCAAATCACATAGGGGAAATGGATGTAATGTCGGCCTAAATGCCCCTAATTTGGGCCCATACATAAATTCAGCAATCGGCTAAAATTTCAATAGCGACCAAAAATATCCATTAGTACCGTCCCAATGACGCTTCATCTAGATAAAATTGATAAATAACAAATTTTTAGCGATGGGCCCAATCTTAGATCCATAGGCCAACATTAGAGCCATTTCCCCTATATGGTAACATATTTGTGCTAGAAAGATTCTTAAAAATCCATGTAAATCTTTACAAATTCTTCTGTTGTTGATCGACCGATTTTCGAGAAGGTGTTTGTCAAAATTAATTCCTTGTATGTCATAAATAAGTCTGGTGGAATAGGTTATTTAAAATGTTTCCTTATGTAAAATGTATGTGAAAATTCACCAAATGGAACACAACCTTAGGAGTATTGAGGTAAATTGAAAATTCGTAATGTGCATTACAAATAGAACCGATATCAAAAATCATCGAAAAAAAAACGTTTTGCTCAGAAAACGCTCATTGGTGTCAAAAAATCGTCTAGGAACATTTTTAAGCTCTTAACATTTTACTATATCTGATACCTTTAGTATTTGTCCATAAGTTGAGAAAAAAAAATGCATTTTACAGAATCTTGAGTTCCTTTTTAAATTAGTTAAATTGTATTGTATTTTTTTCCAGACTAATAATCCGGTAATTCAGAATCAAGTATATCCAAGCAGGCATGGGAAATTATTTACATTAATCTCGTGCATTCATTTGCCTATAACTGTTTTCATTAACAGAATTGCGTAAAATGATGTATGAAGTATTCGCAGGTTTCGTTATTAGATACAACATTTGTGAATAACTCAAATATGTATCTCATATGCAAGCCGATCTAGAGCGGGCAGAATTTGTTATTGTTATTGAATTTAATTTACATTCTCTGAAAAACAATAATTAGTTCTGGTTCATCATGCACAAGAGATACTGATTTGAGTTGTTTACAAAAGTTTTAGTTATTGACACAATCTACATTTAATTCTAGACTGCAGCTCTTCATGTTTAACTGTCCTAAAAGTGTGTAAATTTGTCTAAATTCGTGACTGAATATTTTTCTCTGTGCCACAATTTTGCGATTTATATAGTCACCAATTCGCGATGTAAAAAGGTGGACAAAAGAAAGCAGAGTGAGGAACGTAAGGTTAGAAGTGGACCGTGCTATTGCTTAATCAATTTATAATTTGTTTTTGAAATCACTTATGAGATCCTTAAACCATTTGTTTGATTTTTATGAAGCATGAAACAAGCGCATGATGGGTTTGTGACTTTATAAAAAAATTCGAAGTGGCAATCGCACTGAGCAGAAGATTGGTAATATTTCTTTCCGATCAATAAATGTCACTATTGGTCACTTTTTTATTGTTTTAAAGTCACTATTTGGTCATTATTTGGTCACTATTTTCGTTATTTTAGTCATTAAGGATCCACAGGAGCACGAAAACCGATTATCGGGAGTCTTTCGGTTCTCGGCTTCCGTTCTCGAAAACGGTTAAAGTTAGCACTTTGGTACTTTCTGACCTCTTAGTTAGATCCTAAATCAACATTTTTGGATTTATTTTCAAAGGATTAATTGTGTAGTTTGTGAGAACAAAGAATATGAAAAATTCCACTGGACTTTGTACTAGATTTTCGGGTATCTTTCGATTATCATTTTCCGATCTCTACAACGGTCAAAGTTAGCGCCTTGATACTTGAGCATCGCCAAACCAGTTTCCAAACGAACGTTTTGCCATGTATTTCCGGAGAATCCTATGTGTCCTCAGTGAGATAAATGAAGAAGAAATCCGATCACCGGAGCAAAAATAATTACACCCAAAATCATCGTTTTCATCGCCTAACTGGCAGCATTGACTCAATTAATTTTTCTTTTCACAAGCTAGTACATACAGAATATGGTTTGGTATTGTAACCATGGCTACTGTGGAGTGAATACTGCGTGAACACTCAGCAATCATAGACGTTGAAAAGTTTGTTGATTGTAATGCATGCTTGCAAAGAGTTTTCTGTAGGTGAATATGGCTCGCTGCAATAGTGCTGTGGCTTAGCGATCAGAAAGGTCGAAGTTTGAATCTCAAAATCTTACTATTTTTTTTCAATTCTTGTGTCCCTTTTATTACAGCCTATTAGGTCTTATGTGACTACAGCTGGAAAGCCCTGAACTATGTCACAAGGCCAGAATATTACTGAGTATTCAGAGGGGGACTACGTGGAAACAAGAAACATTAAAGGGTGATACGGTCAAAATTTGGTCAAGGGAAAACGCGTGTAAATCGGTGAAATCGTTTATTTAAAAAATCAAATTAAATTTCTTTTTCAAGTTCAATTAGTATAAAACTCAGGAAAAATATTCAGTTAGGCTTCCGCTTTTCGAAATCCGAATTGCCGGGCCTTACGCTTGACCCCTGCCATCAGATTTTGTACAGCCACCTTGTCCACCTTCTTCGCCGCAAAAAGCCAGTTTGCCTTGAACTGCTGCTCGCCCTTAGCAGTTTTTTGGTCTTCTTTAGGTTCCGCTTGACAATAGCCCAGTATTTCTCAATTAGGCGGAGCTCTGGCGTGTTGGGAGGGTTCTTGTCCTTGGGAACCACCTGCACGTTGTTGGCGGCGTACCACTCCATGACCTTTTTACCGTAATGGCAAGATGCCAAATCCGGCCAAAACAGTACGGAACAACCGTGTTTCTTCAGGAAAGGCAGCAGACGTTTATTCAAACACTCTTTCACGTAAATTTCTTGGTTGACAGTCCCGGAAGCTATGAAAATGCTGCTTTTCAAGCCACAGGTACAGATGGCTTGCCAAACCAGATATTT